GAAAAGAATGGAAAATGATGAGATTTGAGTTACTCAAACGTTGTTGATATCAAAAAGTTTTGGTTTAGTGTTGGACGTAGTTCTCACAAGATGCGTTATTTTGTCCCAAATCAAACTGAATTGAATATAATGTAGGTGTCTTTAATGCGAAGTACTTCTATACTTGTAAGTACTATTACATCAGTATATTAGATCTGTGCATTTTCTCTTAAAGTGACAGCAGCCTAATATTCCCGCTGCTGTCTTGTGTTTTTAATGTTAATCAAACAAAGGACAAAAAATCACACTGCTCTTGACTGAATCACTTTAGTAACTTTAATAAGGATTAATTTAATGATTTATACAGTTAAGAATATGCAGTGTTATTTTACATTTGCTTACTTTAGTACATTTCAGTACCTGAAAACTACCTGGAATTAGCAACAACAAAAAAAAGTTAATTTTTATTTTATAACTTTAATTTATATATATATATATAAAACATACATACAACATATTTATAGATTTATTCTTATATTTGAATTTTTTATTAGAATTTTAGTTTTGATATTTTTGGTGGCATTGCTGAGCATCCCACCATGAGCATTGTTTTTTTGTAGAAGCTGCCAAGTTCAAGACCCCTGCATTCTGCTCTGTGTGGCTGTTTTTGGACCTTTTTTGAATTTCTGCTGCTTTCTACTCGTGTGAGTGAGTGTGTGTGTGAGTGCCTGCCCATAAGTTCTGTCTTGTTTTAGTGAGCATTGTAGATGCGGATGCTATTGTTTTAGGCAGGACCGTGGGTGTAGTAGAGATGCCTGAACTTACTCTCAGTAGAGTTGCACCTGCACCCATTTCCTGACTTTAATGTGATGGATAGCAGTGCAGAGTGCTCCTTGTCCCAGGATGCATCACTCCTCACAAGGTACATGGTGTAATAGTTGACCGCCGCATTCATGGCCTTGGTGAATCAATCTCCATCAGTTCATGCTGTAGAGCGGTGAGAGAGCGTGTGGGTGTGTATCCGCGTGTATGTTCAGCCAGTGCTGTGCGTGTCAGCAAATCCCCTTTTTCAGAACTAGTGCTGCAGGGGTGATTATTTCTCTTTACACTTATATTGCATCATTCTAATTGGGTAGAAATGCATATCCCCTCTGTTCCCAGTGTGCCTCCTAACTGTAACATGCAGTGCCCTGGCTGTTATTAATGTCCGTACAGTCTCTCTAAGCGTACATGCCAAGAGTCAATCCTCAGAGAGCGCCGCAAAGACTGGGATTACCCCGGCCTGTCGGCAAACTCCTAATGCAAATGTTACCTAATCCTCCCTGTACGAAATAATTACACTAGTAAACAAACTGTAGCGCTGCATCTGGGGTTTACTCGCAGGGAAGGCTCATCCCACCTCAGCACTCTCTCTGGTGAGATTCAGATGCCATGGAGTGTGTTTTACAGTTCTCAGTTCAGTTGTGTGCCATTCAGATTTTTTAAATCCCTGGATTGGACTGAATTTGAATGCAAGGAAATAAAATGAACTGAAATTCAAAGATATTCAAATAACTTTTTTATAGCTAGAAAAGACAACTTAAATGTTCAATGTTGGCTTGAAAAGTTTTAAAGTTTAAAAAGACTTGAAGTTTCAAGGTTGGTATGATGGATGGATGGATGGATGGATGGATGGATGGACCAACAGATAGATAGACCGATGGATGGATGGACAGATTGATGGGTGGATGGATAGATATAGACTGATGGATGGATGGATGGATAGAAACTGTAGATAGATTCAATATATTCCTCTTTCTTGACATTCCAATTCAACTTCCTGTGAGTTTTGGCCATTGCAATTCAAATTCATTCTCATAAATTGAAAGGGAGCCGCATAATGTGGGGTTTAGCCAATGTTTTTTTTCCATCTGAGCTCTCTTCTAATCTCTTCTATTTTTAGCAGACCAAAATTAGTCTGTTTTGAATAAAAGACAATAAAACAGTGTTTATTAATTCAATTAGAGTTTCTGTTTGCTAGTGCACTTTTGTTTTCTTTGGCATTTTAATTACTGCTAATAGTTGTTTGTGTTTGTTTGGCCACTGGGCTTTGTTTGGACTGGGCGGCGAATGCAAATATGTCTCCTGACGGCATAGGCACGGATAAACAACGCTCTTATCGCCATTTATTTATGCAAAGTAAACGTGGAGGAAGTAGTTCACTAGTTGACGGCTTCCTGTCCAGCTTAGCGTGCATGGGCTGCCAAAGAGCATAGTGTCAATTCCAGGGGGGTAGGGCATCAAAGGGCATCTTTGTGACCAAGGATTTGCGTCATAAATATGATTTTTTTTATTAAATGATTTAGTCAGGGCAGTTTTTATTCCATGACATCAAATAGCCTTTGACGCTGGCCTTTGTGTGGCCTCAGGGCTTCCGCTGAGGGCTTTTGTTTCGCCTGCTAAGGGGTCAGAGGAGCATCCTTGAACTTGTGGCATTCGGGGCATCGTGACGTCACATGAGTGGAGCTGACACCTAAAGCATGAATGTGGTCAGTGTTCCCCCTAAAACCTCTCCTATTCAATGCAAAAATGAAGAGGTCCCATGCCAGCAGTATGGACGTAATATGCTATCAGAGGCTATTTATTGCAGACCACTTGTCTGCTTTGTTCACCTTAGCCTAGTTTTAGCCTGGCAAAAGAGACAGTATTATATCATATAAATGTAAAGCAGTCCTAATAATGGTAAAAGTTCTAGTTTATGGTGATGTGTTGATGATATTCAGGGGTTCCTAGACTTGCAGTAATGCTTGAATAAGCTAAATTTGCCTCCGTTCTCTGTTTATTCTAATTACACAATGTTAAAAAGGAACGAACATAAAATGTCTTTTAATGATGTCCTACTTATTCTTGTGTTGAATTTCATTGCTCATTTAAGCCACAAACCTTTTGGGGCTCGCATACACTCTCGGTCGTAAAGCCACTTAACTTATCAACACAAGCATCCTCACTGCGGAATGTAATTGCTCAGTTCCTCAGTTTTCTTCAGATTTATCTGTTATTGATTGAAGAAGATGCCGCTTCCTGATTCCAGTGACGCTGTTCATGTTCGCTAGTAGTGAAGATCTAACCAAGATCTGTCTCAGGAACATGATGTTTCTTTGCTCTGTTTATTCTGATGTCTGGTGCGATCCTGCTGTACTCTGTGCGCACATTTTTAGGGATATTTAAGATGCTTTTTGATTGGACAATTGCTTCTTACTATCATTACTATCATAGCTCAGTGATCACCTGATATCAATTTCAATTTCATTATTTGGTTTCAGTTTATTTTGATGGTCCCTTTAACACATTCTGTTGAGCAAGTAACGTTGCACCTACATCACTACTACCTCTCATTAGAGTGTTAGTAGAGTATCAGTAACCTGGTAGGGTTAGAGTTAGTTGACATGTAGTTGCAAAGTTACTTACAGTCAACAGAATGTTCAAAAGGGACCATCAAAATTAAGTGTTACCCCATTATTTTAATTGGGTATGAAGAACTTAAATTAAAATTAATTATGAATATTTATTTTATATGTATTTATTTACCTGGCACTTTTATTCATAATGACAACAAAAAAGACACACAAAAAAAACAATTTGAGCCAATAATATTCATAGTGTATGAATACATTGTGTGTGTGTGTGTGTTTATTTTAATTGTATATTTATGAAGAACTTAAATTAAAATTAATTATGAATATTTATATGTATTTATTTACCTGGCACTTTTTTTTGGCACACAAAATAACTAAAAAAACAATTTGAGCCAATAATATTCATAGTGTATGAATACATTGTGTGTGTGTGTTTATTTTAATTGTATATTTATGAAGAACTTAAATTAAAATTAATTACGAATATTTATGTATTTATTTACCTGGCACTTTTTTTGGCACACAAAAAAAAAAAAAAAAAATTGAGCCAATAATATTCATAGTGTATGAATACATTGTGTGTGTGTGTGTGTGTGTGTGTGTGTGTGTGTGTGTGTGTGTGTGTGTGTGTGTGTGTGTGTGTGTGTGTGTGTGTGTGTGTGTGTGTGTGTGTGTGTGTGTGTGTGTGTGTGTGTGTGTGTGTGTGTGTGTGTGTGTGTGTGTGTATGAAGAACTTAAATTAAAATTAATTATGAATATTTATATGTATTTATTTACCTGGCACTTTTTTTTGGCACACAAAATAACTAAAAAAACAATTTGAGCCAATAATATTCATAGTGTATGAATACATTGTGTGTGTGTGTTTATTTTAATTGTATATTTATGAAGAACTTAAATTAAAATTAATTATGAATATTTATATGTATTTATTTACCTGGCACTTTTTTTTTTTGGCACACAAAAAAAACAAAAAAAAACAATTTGAGCCAATAATATTCATAGTGTATGAATACATTGTGTGTGTGTATAATGGATTAATTTGAAAATGAAAAAAAAATGCAATCATTAATAATTTTATTTGTATATTTATAATGAATGTTTATATTTTAGTTTGTTTTATTTTGATTAAATAACACATTTATTTAAATTGTTATAATTCATTTTTATTTAGTTTTTACTTGTTTTTTATTAATGACAAATTTAGTTATATAATTACTATAATGAGTTGCATTTTACTTCATTATTTGAATTGTTGAATTTTTCGTTTGTTTTGGGAATGTTGGGAATTTCTGGAATGTTGGGAATGCGTATGGTGGTAAAATGTATAATCTTTCTACACATCAGTGTTTCCTGCAGGACAATACGTAAATGACCTCTGTGGTGATAACCTCGGAGTACTCGCTTGAGCTGGCGAACACTAAATGGACAATATGTAAATATTGTTTGTTAATGTGTACGCTGTTGGGACATCAATAGGATGATGATTTCTGAAGACTCATTTTTGCAGCACCAACAAACTTAAAATGTTGGCTTGCCTGAAAGTTTAAATCAGTTTTAAAAGCTTCATGTCCTGTTGAGTTTGTTGTTTTTCTCATGTATTGTCTGTTTTCTCACTTTCCGCAGTTGATGTGAGTGTGGCGCTGCCACTGCAAGTGCCGCCTTCTGCCATCCCCATGGACCTGCGTGTAGATCACCAGTTCGCCCTGGCGCCGACGGACCCGGCCCAGCGTGAGCATCAGCTTCAGCAGGAGCTTCTGGCCCTCAAGCAGAAACAGCAGATCCAGAGGCAGCTCCTGATCGCAGAGTTTCAGCGGCAGCACGAGCAGCTCTCGCGCCAACATGAAGCGCAACTGCAGGAGCATGTGAAGGTGAGGCGAGCGGAGCGCTTCTGACCCGGGGTGGGCGGTAAACAGTGCTGCAGGGCTGAGGTATTTTTGTAGGCCACCCTGGAAGTTAGCATCACCCTGGATCTCTCCACAAATGCCAATAGTATTTTTCCATTGGCTTTTGGAAGGGTGCAGAAAATAAGCTCTGCAACCAACAAAAGTTTATGAGTCTTACGCATTTTATTCAAGATAATCTTCACAAATGAACACAATTTTCAAGCATAAATACAATAGCCAGAAGTAAAAAGCTAAGCTTAGTCTATAAACGAATTACACCACGGTCGCATGTCTTTAGTCTCAGCCTCAAAACATCTGATGCATAAGGCACACACAATGGGAAACATGTTTCGAAGTCGTCGTCTGATTGGTTGAATTTATCAGGATTTCCAGGAGACATGCGTGTCGTGTTCTTTAATGGTCCGCCTAGAAACAAAGCCGCTGTGACGCCAATCTCCTTATGGAAGATGAAATCCGTCATGTTTACAATTGGGACAATGGGTCTCATTCATGAAACATGAGCAGAACGAATTTTTGTGTAAATCGTGTGTAAAGTGGTTCTGGCGTAAATTTTCGGATTCATTAAAATGTTCGTATTTTCCAAATGTTAGTTGGTACACAAGAAATCTACACCTGCTCCCAGCCACGCGTAAATAGTGCGCTTAACACCCGGACGTTTTGCTCATTAATAAGGCTGCGTTTTAATTCACCTTAATCGGGTACATATTTGCACAGCATTTTGAAAAAAATATTATATATAGTAATTACATACGTTTTTTCTTATTATGAGAGCCAGTAATAGCATCTGCGATGGTGATTTTTTTCGAAGTGAACTAATTCGTTTTTTGCTCTCAAGCTTAATGTCGAACCATTTTCTTCTCACTTCTGGGAAAGTTCGATTAACAGATGAAACTCCATTAACTGCATCTGTAATATGCTGCCAAGCTTCCTTTTTTTTAGGACCCGATACGCCACTACCTACGCTTGAAAATAAAATGTGGCGTTTTGAATGAACTTCTGATAATAAAACTTCAATTTCTGCATCTGAGAATTTTTTTTTTCATTCGCATTCATGTCATAATATGATGCCCATATATAGTTGTCAGTCGGATTTAATGGGCGGGATTTATGGTAATTGAGAATGAACGTGCACGCGCATCCCATTTACGACTGATTGGAATTCATTAACACACACACACACACACACATTTCACTATCACATCTGACGTTTACGAAGTATTTGTGAATCAGGAGAAGAGTTTTCGGGAAGGTCTCTTTACGCGCAAATCACTCGCATATTTACTCGTATATTTACGAATGTTTCATGAAGGAGACCCAAAGAGCGCTTATCAGTGTCAACTAAATGCTGGATTTTCAAAAGTATGAGTTTTCAGCACCATTGTTGCAGTAAACTTGCACAACGTTCTTGATGCATGGCGGTCTGTTATTGTGGGGACATTGACTTTACATTTTCACGCCCTTAAACATGATGCTAAATAAAATGGACTGTGATTGGTTACTTTACATGTCAGTCAGATGTCCTGTTGGTCCTTGGCCAATGAAAGCTGAGATTCTGCCATCAGTCTGAAGGTCTGGCTACACAAGACTAGCATGACTTCAATATCCACCACCATCAAGTTCTGACAACTCTTTCGGTCTTTACATTTTTCCAGAAATTTTGAGTTAAAATAACTTGCAGTTAAAGGTATTGTAGGTAGGATTTTAAAAAAAAACTTTTTGCCAAATTTGTTTAAACTTTCTATATATATCAATGCATAATTAAAATGTAAGTACTCTGGAAAAGAGAGTATAAAAATCGAGTGTCTGTAGTCCTCTCAGGGCTGTAATAAACACAGCTACTTATCTCCATTCACTTCCACCCCCTCCATTCTGGGCTCCTTCCAAAACCACGCCCCCAAAACACATGAACGCGCGATGCCGACAGCTCACAGCTGGAGGACGCGCTTACCAGCGCTCAGCGGAGAGGAGCAGTGCATGTAGTGACATCATGTCAGACTCACATGTAATAAAATACCTAACTTTATCATTATGAATATAAACAACTAACATGGCTGTTAGTACTCACTATCAAGCTAGCATATCGATACTGTTAAAGTTTAAAATATATTGAGTTTGATTCGTTAACGAGCTAGTAACATAAAGCAAAGCTAAAAACAGGTTGCATTGATACACGTTTTCCCATTACAATCAGTTACACTGTGATGAAGGTGAATTTCGTGTAAGATTCATAACATATACGCCGTGTTTTGCATGTAATTGTGTCTCTTACTAGTCTCTTACCCTCCTCGAGTCAAACGAGTGCGCGCATGTGGGCAGCGCATGTAGCAGCGGGGGTGTTGCCATGGTTGCGAGAGAGTGACAGTCGCCTAAACCAATCCTTTGTTTCGTCCCGGAAGGAAATAATGAGCTGTGTTTAGTGCAGATTAAACGGTCTAGAGTCACTCGATTTTTATACTCTTTTTATCAGAGTACTTACATTTTAATTATGCATTGATATATATAGAAAGTTTAAACAAATTTGGGAAAAAGTTTTTTAGACCAAAAACGACCTACCCTACCTTTAAAGTGTTATTAATTTAATTGATTAGACATGCTTTTTGATTATTAAAATCAGATTCAACCATTAAAATGGAATCAGGAAAAATTTAAATAGAAAAAACGGAATTTGGGAAAAAAAAAATATTTCTTTAAATTCAATAAGTTTCATGATTTAACTCTTTCCCCACCAGCATTTTTTTTTAAGTTGCCAGCCGCCACCAGCATTTTTGATAATTTTGTAAAAAAAATTCGATGGCCTCCAGAATATTTAGTTGTATGAATATCTAAATAAGCAATATATTTAAAAAAAGAACAGAGCCTCTGCTTAAAAAAACAACAACTTCATGCATTCTTTTTTATCAAGGTTTTTTTTTTTTTTTTTTTAGGCTATGACGTGCATAAGCAATGCTTTTATCGCTTGTTTCTGCTCCTTATTTGCCTGTGTTTTGATCCGGAGATTCTCTTCTCTTTCAGAAAATGCGTAATAACGCCCCCTTATAACAGTGAAGACACAGAAAGCCGGAAAATTCCGTCAATGGCAGGAAAAGAGTGAATTAGACATGCTTTTTTATTACTAAAAATTTAATTATACCATTAAAATGAAATCCAGAAAAATGAAAACGTTAACCGCTCAATGTGGGAAGCCCCAGGGTATTTCTAATGTATTTTGTGTCATAGAATAAAATGTGAAAATATCTTGAGCTTGTGTTAACCACAGACCTTATCCCAGACAAACACTTAAATTAAGAGCTGTGGCGTTTTTGGGAGATTTTGATGTGTTACTCATACAAAGCTATTATATAGATTGAGAAGAAGAAATAAAGCTCTCAAGCCAGATTGACGACTTTTTTTTATGATACATTTATAGTGCTTTTTTGAGCTTGACAGTCGTGGTCACTGTGAATTGTATGAATGGACAAGTGGTGCTTGAACATTGCTTAAAATGTCTAATTTTCTGTACGCTGGATAAAATAACAGCACATCATGGGTTTGGAATGACATGAGGAGTAAATATTGACAGAATTTTCATTCTATTCCTCACGATGCTGCGGTTCTCGTCTCCGTTCCTCCCTTCCTTTAGGGCTTCCCACTCTTCTGTCTTCGATTTTTCCATTTCTTTCTGCGGAATGAAGTTTGTTTGGAAATTGAATATTTGTTGGAGAGTGCGATGCAGAGCACTTGGTAAATGTCTGCATCATACGGGTCTGTCGTGTCTGTGGTTCTCTGAGGCAGCGCTGCTGTCATTGGCCTTCAGACTGAGCGTTCATTGTGAGTCCGCCGACTGCAGCGGGGAATGAGGACGGCCAATGGGTGACTGCAATCGCTATGGGAACTCTGTCCTTGGGAAACACCGGGAGCCTGTGAGCTCAGCAGACCTCCGGCTTTGCTGTGTTGCCACAGAGAGGTTTCTGGCCAATGGGAGCGAGGCAGCCCCTGAGTGTGCTATAAATAGCCTCACAGGCTGCGGGCAGTGTCAGAGCTAATCTCACTGCTAAATGGACAAAATGTAACGTAGGGGTTTGATGGATGCCGTGCTTTCGCCGTGACACCTTGCTGATGATAGGGAGAAGAGAACCGATTGGTTTTTTCAGCAGTTTCTCACTTAGCTGCAAACTGCAGAAATGCTGAAAGAGATTTTTCAGTTTCCTGTGCAGTCAAAGAGTTAATTATGAAACACATTCTCATTATTTAGTCATTATTGTTGGATGGGCTAGTCCTGCTTGAGGCTGTTAGCTGATTGTCTTTTAGAAAAGCATTAAGACACATGTACATTCTTGTTTCAGATGTCAAATCAATGGCTTCTATCTAGGGCTACAACTACCAACAGTTCTGATTCATTCATTCATACATTTTTCTGCAGATTATTTGAATTAAACAATTTATATATACACTCACCGGCCACTTTATTAGGTACCCCATGCTAGTAACGGGTTGGACCCCCTTTTGCCTTCAGAACTGCCTCAATTCTTCGTGGCATAGATTCAACAAGGTGCTGGAAGCATTCCTCAGGGAGTTTGGTCCATATTGACATGATGGCATCACACAGTTGCCGCAGATTTGTCGGCTGCACATCCATGATGCGAATCTCCCGTTCCACCACATCCCAAAGATGCTCTATTGGGTTGAGATCTGGTGACTGTGGAGGCCATTTTAGTACAGTGAACTCATTGTCATGTTCAAGAAACCAATTTGAAATGATTAGAGCTTTGTGACATGGTGGAAGTAGCCATCAGAGGATGGGTACATGGTGGCCATAAAGGGATGGACATGGTCAGAAACAATGCTCAGGTAGGCCGTGGCATTTAAACGATGCCCAATTGGCACTAAGGGGCCTAAAGTGTGCCAGGAAAACATCCCCCACACCATTACACCACCACCACCAGCCTGCACAGTGGTAACAAGGCATGATGGTTCCATGTTCTCAT